AACTGGATGAAAACAGGAAAAATGTTACGATCAAAGACAACTTATCCAATGAAAGCAGACAACGCTGTCAATACATTAAAGTTAATATAACGTGGTGAATAAACCACTATCGTGCTATCGTTATACTTTTTTTTTTGTCCCGTTGACCTCAGAATGAAGATATACTTTCTTATCCACGCCGGTTAGCGACAAAGCGCTACGCGCGCTGGGTTGACATGACGCAGTCATCTACCCTTCCAAGTACACTACTAAAATGAAAGCAATTTTTTTTTTACCAATTCAAGTTTAATGAACCTGTACCTAAAGTAGGAACACCAGAATAGCAGCATGTCGTTAACCACTAACTGTTAACGTCTTCCAGCTAAAAAACTTCCTGTTATCTGTCGAAAATTATTGTGCGCGTGCAAAACAAGTGCGAGATACGCAAATGTTTTACTTACTGGGGAGAGGACACGAAAAAATGTAACAGGCACCGGGAAAAGTTCAAAAAGGATCAATAATTTTAAAAAACGCGTGGTTGCCCCTACGTTTTATGTTATGAAATGGAAGTACCAAGCCTATTCAGCAAGTGATTAGTTTCTGGTTACGAGCAAAAGGTATTTAGACTGTATTTTAGCTGAACCAGAAGAAGACTGTCAGAGACCCTACAACGCTGTTACCACAATTTTGTTATGAAAAAGAACATCCCAATAATGATTTTTATGTTACCATTTACCATTCAGTTTTCAAATCGTTATAACAGTGTTTGCTTTTCTCTATGTAAAGGCAAATTCTAAGGTAAAGGTAAAAGGTAAAGGTAAACTTTATTTAGCCAGGGTGGCCCATTCAGCGAGGAGGCTGATATCCGGAGGGGCCCTGGACTAAAAATATAATAATTAAAAATTCAAGACATCGTGATAATTTAAAAATACAAGATAAAATTTCAAAAATACAAGATATAAATTTAAAAATACAAGTAATAATTAAAAGTATAGAGTATAGACTAGCATGCAATGATTTATAAAAATCTAGTGCCTATATAATTTAAAAATTGTAGGCGTCAATTGTAAATTTGAAAGAAGAAAG